GTGGGTGCTGTGGGCGGGGTGCGGCCGGGGGTGTGAGGAGGTTGGGTGTGCGTGAGCCCGTTGGCGAGTCTGTGTCGGGGGACCCCGGACCCGCGAGCGGAAGTTTGCTGGGGTGAGTGATGCGGCCTGTGATGGGCGCGCTGAGCCCGGCTGAGGAGTGTGTGTCGCGGATCGTGGACCTCGTGGGCGGTAGCTTGACCGGGTTGAGCGGTGGGCGTCTCTGGGGCCGGGTGCAGCGCCTTGGGCGTGTGGAGTCCCGGCGAAGGGTCTGTCAGGCATTCGGGGACCTGCGAGTGGGAGGGGCGAGGTCAGTGCCGGGCCTGGCGGCGCGACGGGGTCCCTCTGTGGTGTGGAGAGCCCCAGTGAGGAGTCTGTGTCGAGGGACATGTGGACATCGTGAGGGGGGCACTCGGGGTGAGGGCGTCTGTGGTGGGCTTCCTCGGATGAGTGGTGAGCCTGGTGGGGAGTCTGCCTCGAGGCAGCCGGGGACACCGTGAGTGCGGGCGGCTCGGAGTGAGGGAGGAGGCCTGTGGGGGCCGCGGTGCGGCTCCGTGGTGTGTGGCGAGCCCCGTCGAGGAGTCTGAGTGACCCGTGGACACTGTGAGCGGGGGAGGGTGGGGTGAGTGATGAGGGACTATGGGGGCTGTGACGGGGCTCCTTGGGCCTGTGTTGGGGAGCCACGGACACCGTGGGTGAGGGTAGGATGGGGCGGGTGAGGGGACCTGTGGGGTCCGTGATGGGGTCCCTTGGCTGTGTGCCGAGCCCCAGTGAGGAGTCTGTGTGGAGGGTCCTGTGGGCACCAAGAGTGTGAGGTTGGTTGGGGTGAGTGGTGGGGTTCCCTGGGTGTGTGGTGAGCCAGGTTAGGAGTCTGTGCCAGGTGACCGGTGGTCGCCATAAGTAGGGAGGGCCCGGGGGTGATGGGGGACTTGGGGGCCATGATGGGGCTCCTTGGGTGTGCGTTGAGCCCCAGGCAGGAGTCTGTGGAGGGCCTCGTGGATACGGTGAGCGTGGTGGGACTGTAGTGGCAGCGGTGGCGTTCCCTCTGTGTGTGGCGATCCCAGGGAGGAGTGGGTGGGGGAGGGTGTGGGTGAATGATGGGGTGCGGTGGGGGCTGTGATGCAGTTCCTTGGGCGTGTGGTGAACCCTGGTGAGGAGTCTGCGTCGAGGGTTCCAAGGACGCCATGAGGGTGATGGGGGACTGTGGGTGCCATGGTGGGGCTCTTTGGGTGTTTGATGAGCCCCAGTGAGAAGTCTGTGTTGAGGGACCCTGGACACTGAGTTGGGTGGGGCCAGTGTCAGGGACCGTGGGGGCCGTGATGTGGTTCCTTGGGTTCACCCCCCCCAGTGAGAAGTCTGTGTGGATGGACCCATGGACACAAGTGGGTGGGACCGGGGTAAGTGGTGGTAGACTGTCGGGAGCCATGGTGGGGTTCCTTGGGTGTGTGGTGAGCCCTGGTGAGGACTCTGTGTCAAGGGACCCATGGACACCATGATGGTGGGTGGGGTCAGTGAGTGATGGGGGACTGTGAGAGCTGCGATGCGTGTGTGTGAGAACCTGGGGGGGGGCTGTAAGGGCTGTTTGTGGCAAGTTGCACAGAGGGGTCGGAGTCAGGGCGAGGTGTCTGAGGTTGAGTGACGAGTGGCAGGGGCCCCATGGGCCCATGCTCAGCCATGTCGGAGCTGTAGTGGGAGTGAGCTCCTGAGACTGTCATCTGAAGGGCCATGGGGGGTGTCCCACAGGAGGGAGATGGCTCAGACCCAGAGCCCCCCGATGCTGGGGAGGACAGCAAGTCCGAGAACGGGGAGAATGCTCCCATCTACTGCATCTGCCGCAAGCCGGACATCAACTGCTTCATGATGTGAGCCCGGGAGGGGGTGGGGCTGACACCTGGCCACATGGGTTCGGTCTGTTGGCACGCCCTCATCTCCACCACCCACCCCGTCCTCTGCAGTGGGTGTGATAACTGTAATGAGTGGTTCCATGGAGACTGCATTCGGATCACTGAGAAAATGGCCAAGGCTATCCGGGAGTGGTACTGTCGGGAGTGCCGAGGTGAGTGAGCAGTGTGGGATGAGCAGGGATGTCAGGTGGGGCTTTGAGGGAGGAGGAGAAGCCGGACGGGGCTGTGGGCAGGGGTAACAGCGACACAAGTCTCTGGGCAGCGTGATGGTTCGTCTGTGGTGAGCTGCCACGGGGTCTCCACTCTGAGTGGTGAGAGAGGGTTTCTCAGGAAGGAGAAGCACTGCCCTGGAGCAGTGGGGCAGGGTGGGTGGGTGGACAGTAAGGGAGAGAAGGGGAGGAGGTTCTGGGACCACTTAAGCCCTCCAGTGCTCACTCACCCTGGCCCTACTCTCTGCCCACAGAGAAAGACCCTAAGCTGGAGATTCGCTATCGGCACAAGAAGTCACGGGATCGGGATGGCAATGAGCGGGACGGCAGTGAGCCCCGGGATGAGGGTGGAGGGCGCAAGAGACCTGTCCCAGATCCAGACCTGCAGCGCCGGGCAGGGGCAGGGGCAGGGGTTGGGACCGTGCTTGCTCGGGGCTCTGCTTCGCCCCACAAATCCTCTCCACAACCCTTGGTGGCCACACCTAGCCAGGTGAGCGGCTGCAGTGGTTGGGATGTGTAAGTGGTCCCACCTTGGGCACTGCCTGGGTCCCTGATTTCTGCTCTGGGCATCTTCTTCCAGCACCACCAGCAGCAGCAGCAGATTAAGCGGTCAGCCCGCATGTGTGGCGAATGTGAGGCCTGCCGGCGCACTGAAGACTGTGGCCACTGTGACTTCTGTCGGGACATGAAGAAGTTCGGGGGCCCCAACAAGATCCGGCAGAAGTGTCGGCTGCGCCAGTGCCAGCTGCGGGCCCGGGTGAGCATGGGCAGAGCTGGTCAGGGCTAGGTGTGGGGGAGCTGGTGGGTCCGTGAAGGGCTGGTTAAGACTAGGCAAGGGTGGACCAGATGGGGTGGGGCCTGGCTGTATCCAGGCAGGTAGGAAGGGGCCTGGCATGTCCAGAAGAATGGGGCATGTTCAGGTACGCTGGGCTGGCAGAAACATCCCCCAACCCTAGGTGGGACCCGGTGTTTCCAGGAAGTCAGGCGTGTCATTGCAGATCAGGCAGGGCTGAGCATGTCCTGGTGGTGAGGTGCAGGGGAGGTGGGTGGTGAGGCAAGGTAAGGCGAGCGGGAAGGGCTAGGGCAAGGCCACCCTCCATCCAGCTGGGGCTGACCTGGGCCTTCCTCCTGCCGGCACAGGAATCGTACAAGTACTTCCCTTCCTCGGTGAGTCCAGCCCCCCCAGGGCGGGGCGGGGCATGCGGGCAGGGCTATCAGGGCCAGTCCTGAGATTCTGCCCCGCAGCTCTCGCCGGTGATGCCCTCAGAGTCCTTGCCACGGCCTCGCCGGCCATTGCCCACCCAACAGCAGCCACAGCCATCACAGAAGCTGGGGCGCATCCGTGACGATGAGGGAGCAGTGGCATCATCAACAGTCAAAGAGCCTCCCGAGGCTACAGCCACACCTGAGCCACTCTCAGATGAGGACCTACCGCTAGATCCTGACCTGTACCAGGACTTCTGTGCAGGGGCCTTTGATGACCATGGCTTGGTGAGCAAGCAGAAGACTCCCAGGGTAGAAGGGTGGAGGTTACAGAAGCAGAGAGTATCTGATGAGGAGCGAGAGACAGGGTATGGAAGGCTGTCTTGGGAAGTGAGTAGGTGGGGGGGTTGTCATGGGTGAGGCAGGTGGATCACTGCATGCCCTGCTTACAGCCCTGGATGAGTGACACAGAAGAGTCCCCATTTCTGGACCCTGCGCTGCGAAAGAGGGCAGTGAAAGTGAAGCATGTGAAGCGTCGGGAGAAGAAATCTGAGAAGAAGGTGATGGAGAGGATAAAATGGGTATGGGAAGGCAGAGGGTGGGGAGCTGGGTAGGGAGAAGCAGCGGTCAGGGGCTGAGTGGGGCACAAACCAGAAAGGGCTAAAATGGAAGGGGAGATGGTCTGGGGCTGACGTCACAATTCCACCCTGAACTGACCCGTCTTGGCCCACAGAAAGAGGAGAGATACAAGAGGCATCGGCAGAAGCAGAAGCACAAAGACAAGTGGAAACACCCAGAGAGGGCCGATGCCAAGGATCCTGCATCGCTACCACAGTGTCTGGGGCCTGGCTGTGTGCGTCCTGCCCAGCCCAGCTCCAAGTATTGCTCAGATGACTGTGGCATGAAGCTGGCAGCCAAGTGAGTCCTCCTGGGGGGTTTCAAGGAAGTCAGGGAGTACAGAATAGGGCATTACCAGAGCCCTCTATATGTCTATGAATCAGTCACCTATCCACCATGCAATCAACCTGACACCCCCATATCCATCTACCCATTCACCCATCCATCTGTCAACCCCTCTGTCCATTTGCCCACCCATCGTCCCTTCAGAGATCCAGTCACCTACTCACTCACCATTTAGTCCCTCATCCACTTTGTCACCCATTGATCACCATACTTACTCATTTTGTTGCTTGCCACCTTCCCTGCCTGCACCCTACCTACTGCCTCCTTGCAGCCGCATCTACGAGATCCTCCCCCAGCGCATCCAGCAGTGGCAGCAGAGTCCTTGCATTGCTGAAGAGCATGGCAAGAAGCTTCTTGAACGCATCCGCCGTGAGCAGCAGAGCGCTCGCACTCGCCTTCAGGAAATGGAGCGCCGATTCCATGAGCTTGAGGCTATCATTCTGCGTGCCAAGCAGCAGGCTGTGCGTGAGGATGAGGAGGTGAGCAAGCAGGGGTATGGCAGGGCAGGGCCCGGTACCTTGTCCCACGTGGCCTCATTGTTCCTTCCACCCACACAGAGCAATGAGGGCGACAGTGATGACACGGACCTGCAGATCTTCTGTGTCTCCTGTGGGCACCCAATCAACCCACGTGTTGCCCTGCGCCACATGGAGCGCTGCTATGCCAAGGTTGGGCTGTCGGCCCTAGGGGGCGGATGGTGCGGGAGCGTCAGTGGGCCAGTAGGGGATGGCTTTGGTGGTTGGGTGGTGTCTCAGGCGGGAAGGCAGTGCATATCCACAGTTCCTTTCATTTGTGCTCATCCCTCCAGTATGAGAGCCAGACGTCCTTTGGGTCCATGTACCCCACACGCATTGAAGGGTAAGTGAGGGTGCATGCTGGGTTAGAGGCGGAGGATTAAGGCTGGGATCCGAAGTGGAGTATGTGTGGAGCTGGGGCAGGATATGCATGTGGGCAAGAACAGGTGGGTCTCCCTTCTTTCCCGCCAGTAACCTCTCTATTCCAAACCCCCAGGGCCACACGACTCTTCTGTGATGTCTATAATCCTCAGAGCAAGACATACTGCAAGCGGCTCCAGGTGCTGTGCCCTGAGCACTCACGGGACCCCAAAGTAAGGTTTCCCTCAGCTGCCCCCATTCTGTCCCTCACCCCTGCCTCACCGTCCCTCTTCGCCCCTACTCTCCTCTCCTCCCTCCACTTTTTCCTGTCTGGCCTCTTCCATTTTTCACTCGTCTTCTCTTCACTCTTCCCTGAACTCCCTGTTCTTTCCTTTCTCCCTCCTTGAGCACTCATTCCTGTCCTCCCCCATCACCACCTCTGTTCATCTCCAGTCCTGGTCTTGCAGGTGCCAGCTGATGAGGTATGCGGGTGTCCCCTTGTACGTGACGTCTTTGAGCTCACAGGTGACTTTTGCCGCTTGCCCAAGCGCCAGTGCAATCGCCATTACTGCTGGGAGAAGCTGCGGCGTGCTGAAGTGGACTTGGAGCGTGTGCGTGTGGTAGGTGCTGACGACACTGGATGTGGCCAGGTCAGGTGGGGCTGCAGGAGCCCCTTCTCATGGCTCTTTCCACTCCCTTGGCAGTGGTACAAGCTGGATGAGCTGTTTGAGCAGGAGCGCAACGTGCGTACTGCCATGACAAACCGAGCAGGATTGCTGGCCCTGATGCTGCACCAAACAATCCAGCATGACCCACTCACTACGGACCTGCGCTCCAGTGCTGACCACTGAGCTTCACTGGTCCAGGCCCCCTAACACCCTGCATTCCAGATGGGGAACTGCCCCGAATCCCCCATGTGTTCGTTCCTTCATCTGTTGCAACCGTCCCTGTTTCCTCTTCTTTCCCTGAGGCCATTCGCCATTTGACTGCCCATGTGCCCTTATCAGAGGGTCTGAGTTTCCCTCTGTCTTACTCCTCTGTCTCTCCATTTTCACTGCCCGCGTGGGACGGTGGAGTCTGCTCATCCTTGCCTCCTGCCTCCCTGGGTTTTGTTAATAAAATTTTGAAGAACCAAGGAAGAAAACTTCTGGTGGTCTCCACACTTGCTCCAGTTGCAGCTGTATTCCCAAGCACGGAGGTGGCACACTGTATCCAGGAGGGACTGCAGTACATGTGTAGGCTGGGAGTATACAGTTGGCACCCACGGGGTGCTCCCTAGGGCTGTGGGGGGGATACGACCTGATTAAGGAGTGCCCGATGACCTGTATGCCTAGCCTCGCAATTTGGGACAGTGGGTACACACGCAGCATTCACTCACTGGCCAGGTACCTCTCTGCTGCCAGTGGCGGTAGTCTCCAGAGCACGGGTGGATCTGGCGACGAGCACCAGGCCCCTGTCTACAAACCCCGCTTTGGGGACGTGTGAACCACAGAAGCCCACCCGCCTCGCCCCTCCGTGGTCCCGGCCCAGTACGCCTTTGGGCGTGGGCACGCTCCCACTCCGCTCTCAGTTTACCTGCAGCCGCCCCGCCCCTGCCCCGCCCCACGGGAGGAGCCGCCGCGCGCCGTGACTCGTCTCCCGCGCTCCGGCGGCGTTTCGGCGTGGAGGAGAAGGCGGGACACTAGCCTCGGGGGAGTCGCTCCGAGGGGCCGCAGAGCACAGCCACGACCTCGGCGAGAGGACGGCGCCGGCTCGGTGGTCACCACCCGCGCGGCCCACGCCTTCCCGCGTTGGGAC